GAGCTTGTTTAGCATTTAGCACTTGGCTTTACTCACATACTTCTATTGTAGAAACCTTTTACTTGTACAGCGTGTTGTTCTCACTGAAGTAAAGATTCTGAAACCATCATGGCATCTGTAACCGTTTGGAGGTTCGTTACTCACTTAAGATGGAGAACAGCATGGCGAAGGCAGCGAAGATCCCGGCCAGACCCTGACCGCTCATGAACAGGGTGCTGTAACAAGGAGGGAACAGGCCGACCACCCCGAACAGACTGCCCTGCAGCACCGCACCACACACTGCACGCACAGATACGACATTAAGATCAGGGTTCAGTTTACTGGAAGCAGTCCTACGAGGCAAGAGCAGCAACGAAAGCAGTAATCAGGGTGTCACTGAATACCAACGAGGGCTGCAAGGAAATAGGTGGCGACAATGTTCAAGTCATTTTAAAAACTAATGTACAATTCACACTAACTTAGGTATTTTTCTGATTTTACATTGTTTTACTACATTACTCTTCTAATAATGATTTTATTCATGTTTTTATGGATTGATTGTATCTGCCTCTTTGCTTTTAATGTAATTATTTACAGTGCTTACGTTCTGTGGACTGACTTTATCTGTCTTCTTATACTTTTGTGTGAAGCACTCTGAATCACCTCGGCTACAAACACACATGCCTCGGCGTTCACCTGCTAAATCTGAACAACATGCGATAACATTCGTGAGCATAAAAAACATTTTCAGCTCCTGCACAGCTCATCTGATGTCACCGGTAAAGCTGAACGTCGGCAGCATCGCGTCGTCACAAGAACCTACTGTTAATGAACCAGATGGTTGCCATGGTGACGGAGAAGAAGGTGTCCGCCTGCATGGGGACCTGGACCAGAGCGGCAGTGAGGGCGAAGAGGAGGAAGATGACGACCAGGCTGAAGGCCACACGGAGGCGCTCCCTGACCCTGCACACAGCGACAATCTGCGTTATCACCAGCTAATGATGGCAACAACCGTCGTCCTCGTCTTCTGGAGTTTAAATCCACGAAATGTTGGATTGCATGTGTCACTAAAGACAGAAGTGTTTCTGTCTTCTCTCGGGTTTACAGTCTGTTTACTAGCATGCAGAATAAAAGTTAGGCCTGGAATCCCAACGTGTTGTGTTTTTGTTTTTTTTCCTGTTTCATTTAGTTTCTTATTTAGGACCTTATGGATGAGGGTCTTTAAAGTGCATGACCCCCTTTGGCTGTTGTTCTTTTACATATTTTGAAACTCCATCAGGTCCTCTTGTCCTTGTGCCTGTTGTCTGTTTGTTTATGTTGGAAAAAATCTAAATACAATATATTTTCAAAAGAAAATCAGACCTGGACTCCGTGTACACAACATTTTAGTCACAACAGCCAGCTGTATACAACCATAACACCGAAGTATAAACTGATCATTTAAGCACGACCTGATTCTGGATAAGTAGCAGTAAACAGACGGACTGACAAACGTGTTTAATGTCCACCTCACATCAGATATCTGAAGCGCTGGAGATCTTTCAGTTCGTTCAGCACTCACCACTGATACAGGAAAGAGTTGAGCAGGGTGAACAGCAGCAGGGGCAGCTGGGAGAGCAAAGCCATCCAGCTGTCATAGTTGTAGTCCTTCGACGTGCCGCCTGACGAGCTGTTAGAGGTGACGTTTGGTGGTGCGAGACGCTCGTTAAAATACTGAAGAAAAACAGGGAGAAATATATTTACTATTTACACACAATGACACATCCAGTCGGCCGCCCTCTCATTTGTCTGGGACAGTTTTTTATTTTTTTAAATTATTCTTTTCAGCCACAATTCAAAACCAACACCTAATTTCACTAAATTATAATTTAACAATTTATTTATTTATTATTACTTTTTTCAGTTTATTTGAGTGACTGTTGTGAATTTTGCCTTTTGTTTAATGGGAGGGGATGAACACATTTGCAGATGATACCATGAAAACATCTGCAAAATCATGAAGCAGTATTTCTGATCACTTTACGTCACCAGTGATCCAGATCATGGTAGGACTTATGCTCAACTACATTCTTCCATCTAAACACACCCTAGTTAGATTATTAGATCAGTGATGCAAATATCAAACCTGCGAGGCCGTGATGAAGAAGTTCCAGGGCAGCAGGGTTCCCAGACCGAGCACAAAGATGATGAGTTTTACAGCCTGGCCGCTGTGGAAACGAAACACTTCTGTGAGCTGAACTGGGTGGAAGCATGAAGAAAGTGTTCATACAGAAACCATGAGCTCACCGGTCAGCAGGCGGATTCTGCGTCTTCTCTTTCGACATCCTTCTTCTGTCACGTTTCTGTGCAAAAGTCAAGAGAAGCCTTTAAATACTGTGCAGGGAAACACACAGGATGAGCGTCACCCACACAAGTGATGCAATTTGGTACAGTCGTCCTCTAATGTATTCGTCCCCTTCCATTAAAAAAAGGCAAAATCCACTCAAATAACCAAAAACTGAAAAAAGTAATAATAAATAAAAATTTGTTAAATTGCAATTTAGTGAAATAAGACGTTGGTTTTGAATTGTGGTTGAAAAGAATAATTTAAAAAAAAAACTGTCCTGGACCAATGAGAGCTCTTTGCTGATGAGCAGGTGAGCAGTGGTCCAGAATACCTGTCAACAGGTGCACAAGTCTGACTGAGAGTTACAGAAAACATCTGATGGCAGTGATTGGCTCAGAGGGTTGTTCAGCTACATATTAGTTCACGGGTCCCATCAGGCTGGTTTGCTTGTGTGCTTTTTTTTTTAATATTTCTGTTTCTGTACCTACTTGTATGTAAAGGGTACATGGAATCTAGCCCTGATTCTTCCTGTTTACTAATAAACAAATGCCCTAAAAACTCGAAATGTTATCTGGCATGGTGTATAGACAATGGATTATTATTATTATTATTATTATTATTATTGTTATTATTATTATTGTTATTATTAGCAGCGCGCTGATCCGTTTACCAACAAGGCGAAACTAACTGTAGTAAAAGTCGCATTAATTCCAACTTGCTTTGGATATTAAATACAGGCTGGTGTGATGTTGGAGCAGCTTCGCGGCTGATCAGTTCGAATCCACCTGACGGCGCCTCATGCCGCTGATGGCGCGTGAATGAGACGCTGTCATACAGTGAAGTAGCAGCACGTGGAGCGTGTCTGGAGTCACAGGTCCGACAGGAAACCACGAAATGTAGGTAAATAAGAGAAACATAAGGCAGACGAAGCTCACCTGAGGCTCGGAGCAGGTGTCCCGGTCAGACGAACAGACGGTGTGTCGGTGGGAGTCAAACACCGGGTTAAGGGCGCGCGCGGGCAGGTTTTTTTTTTATATACCGGAACCGTCAGTTGATGAATCAGGAAGCAGGGGAGGTTCTACACTCTGGCCGTTTCTCAATACTCAAGAATGCAAGTACATATTGAGAAACGGAGTCACTCTCTATAATATTTAAATCAAGGACCTTAGATGTCATTTATAGTTTTTACTTAAATCCTCTCGAATGGTCTCAGAAATTAATATTCTGAATCTCAATCCAAATGTTTATTTTTCATTTTAAATTGGGGGAAAAAATCATTAACATGACTTCATTCTCATTTAGTTTCAGTGATCAAAAGTCCACTTTCCCAGCAGACCGGGGCAGAACCGAGGGTCCGCCACAGTCTGAGGTCTGTTCAGCTCATCCAGCCCATTCTGCAGCAGATCACGGTTTGGCTGCAGCTTATTATCATTCTGTTTGTCTTCAAACCAATCATAAACCTTTCAGGTGAAGCTGAGCAAAAGACAAAGCTTTTGATGCTGTCAGTAGGGATGGCTTGTGGAAGGTAAAGTTTTGCTGTCCGAGCAAGTTCACCACGATCGTCCAGCATGATGGTTGAAGTGATTGATGATGGAGATGAGTCAGAAGCCTTTCCAGTGACGAACAGCGTGAAGCAAGTAGGGCTGGACCCGAATATCCGAATACTGGTCGTTGTGCTGGTATCCGGATGACAGTTTTGATATTCAAATGTTCGGCCACCTCCCCAGCCTTACCACCAAGCCGAAGGTCTACGGCGCAGTGGGACCCACCACCCTCCTCTACACCACCAAGACCTGGACGGTCCACAGCAGACATGCCAAACAGCTCAACCACTTTCACTTGAGCTGTCTCCGCAGACTCCTCCTTATCAGGTGGAGGGACAAAATCCCAGACACGGAGGTCCTGGAACAGACCGGCTTCCCCAGAGGCTGCACCCTACTCCAGAAAGCTCAAGCCACATGGGCAGGCCATGTTGTGAGAATGTCTGACAGCCGACTGCCAGAACAGCTGCTGTATTGTGAACTGTCTCAGGGCAACCGCACAGTTGGGAAACAGAAGAAGCCATTCAAGGACTGCCTCAAAGTGTCCCTCAAAGACCTGGACACCAGCCCCAGTACATGGAAGTTGCTTGGCCAGGACCGTCCAACTTGGAGAAGCAGAGTCACGACTGGGTCCCATGCAGCAGAAAGCAGACGGACTGAGATGGACCGTTACTTTAGGTATGTTTTGATGCTACTACTTTCTTTTGCTTCAATAAAATTTTGAATGCAAGACTTTTACTTGAATAATCTGATCTGTGTTTCTCTTCAGTGGTTCCCAACCGTTCAGGGTTGTTGTTTTCATTACAGCAGTGCCTCCAGGGTGTAGGTGGGTGGGGCCGTTGTGTAATTTTCTTCATCTCAGCCAGGTGAGCTGTCAGAAGAACTCACTGTTTCTAGCACTGTTGCCTCGCAGCCAGAAGGTCGCCGGTTCGCGTCCCAGTGAGAACACCCGGGATCTTTCTGCGTGGAGTCTCCATGTTCTCCCCGTGCAGCGTGGGTTCTCTCCGGGTTCTCCGGCTTCCTCCCACAGTCCAGAAACATACTGAGGTTAATTGGTGATTGTAAATTGTCCGTAGGTGTGAATGTGAGTGTGCTTGTTTGTCTGTCTCTAAGTGTAGCCCTGTGATAGACTGGTTACCTGTCCAGGGTGTCTCCTGCCTTCGCCCTAAGTTGGCTGGGATAGACTCCAGCCCCCCCGTGACCCTAATGAGGATTAAGCGGTGTATAGATAATGGATGGATGGATAGATAATAGATGGATGAATATTCCTAATGTGTGTTTTTTTAAAAATTGGATTTCTCAAATCTGTACAATGGGAAATAAGACCAAAAGAAAATCAGAAAAACAATGAAAGAAAATTCTGTCATTTTTCTTTCATTAAGGAGACTTTTGCCTTTCTTGGCTTATGAAATAAACTTCTGAGCGCATGTGCTTCCCTGTGACTTCACAACTCTAACACTAGATGGCCTCATGTTGTTGGAGCAGATGACCATCATATACACCGACATTATATTCCACCACGAGCTGCTTTTTAAAGACAAAGACAGAACTGAAGGTCGGCTTGCTCTTCGTTGGCCTTTCAGTGGCAGCGTAACTGATAAAACAATAACTTCCATAATCCTTCCAGTACATTCGAACGGTTCTCTGGCAGATGCTGTGTCAGATCCCTCTCACATTTTATTGGAAAAACGAGACCTTTTGCCATCAAACTGAAGATGTAAAGTAGCACAGGCTGGACTGGTACGTCAGCAGTTAGTCAGTCTTTCTATACCGACTCAACGCTGAATGTTGAAATGTACAGCCGTGATGCAGTGTACTGGCTTCTGCTAGCGTTTCTATAGTTGTTTGTTTTAATCCAGCTCATGCAACAGTGTATACCTATTAAAACATTTTATTTTATTTAGTGAGGATTAAGCAGTGTATAGATAATGAATGGATGGATAATCTGACAACAAAGTGATACCAATTGAAAAGACTCATCGAGTGACACATCATGGAAAGAGCACGACTGCCTTTCCAGAGCTAAGATTAGCTCAACGTTGAACGCCGCTCTTCTGGTTAGTCCTGCTCTGCATGTTTGCACACCGTCATGTTTTGCACTGAGTTCATCCTGCCCATGTTAGCTAAGGCATCTACCGACATGTAAAAACCTTTCCCTGTAAAGATAAATACACGAAACACTTTCTGCCTTATGCAACTCATCTCTTTGCCACAATCATCTGCTACTCTGTGTGACAATAAGCTGCTGAGTCCATGTTGCGGTTCACTGTGTGGTTTTTCAACTGATTTTAGGTTTGATTGGATCAAACACATTTATTGAGAAATATGTAACAGAACTTCAAATTTAAAGAAAATAAGAAATATGAAATAAACCATTCCTCACCTCATCCTGTGATCTGACACTTAGTTTTTGTTGTGCACGTTTCTAAAAAAAGAAAAACTTCAACCAGATTCAGTGTTTGGCACACAGTGAGTGAGCGTAAAGGGCTTCTACACTCTTGACAGTTTCTTGATTTGTCCGGTTGGTATTTCAGCCTCATCTCTGGTAATAATCGTGACAAAAGACTTGCAACTGAAAGATGCTTTGCTAAGCAGGAGGCTCAGGTGTCGTTTAGCAGAAGGGTTGAGAAAACACAGGATGGACGTTTGAGTGTCACCTAATTAGGGTCCAATTTATGACACTCTTCTTTTATCATGGTAACAAGTCACAAACAAAGAGCGCGCACACACACACACACACACACACACACACACACAGGAGTGAGTGAGTGAGAGAGAGAGAGAGGAAGAGTTAGTTGTGAACTTTCAAAACAAAACCATGAAATTGGTGTAATTTACCTTTAGTTTCTCAAATCAGGTGGAAGAACAGCACATCCTGAATGCAATACAATTAGGTAATATTTTTTTTTTTTTAAAAAGAAGAAAGATATTCTAAGCTGAAATAAATAAACAACTTAGATTAGATAGAACTTTATTGATCCATTTGGTGGGGCGCCTCAGGGAAATTCTTCTAGAAACAGCACAACGCCGACAGAGACAGTAACACACATCAACTAAGAAAAAAAAGGCAGTAGACAAGGAAACAAACTGTTTGATAGAACAGCAGCACGGTGTAATAATAGCAAGGATTCAACGCTTCAAGGAGCTTTATGTGTCATGCCAGTTGACGTTCACATGTTAGTGGTATGAAATTTGTGCTTGGTTCCCATTTGTTTTTTGTTTTTTTTTTAAAAGAAAAAGCCTAATAAATAATAAGTACAATAAAAAAAGAGCAAAATATGAGTAAAAATACAGCAATATAAGGGTAGTAAAAAAAAAGAAAAGTATAAACATTAAGAGTAGAAAGCCACAATTAGTTGCTTAGGACTAAATATTTGTGTAGCAGCGAGGTAGACTGTGATATTGGTGGTTGAAATATTGCACATATATGGATTAAAATAACAATAATAGTATTAATACCAATGTAAATAATAATAATATGCTATATAATATAACAATCAGTGTAGTTATAGGTAAATATAGTTGAGTATATAAAATATAAAGGTGTATTGTGTATATTTTAAAATTAAATAAATAAATAAATAAATAAATAGTGGTGCTGTTTAATGAATGAAATGAAATGAAAAATACTTTATTTATCCCAGAAGGAAAATTCAATCTTGTACAAGCTCACTTTAAAAAAAAATAAAAAATCAATATAACATATATTATATACAACAATAATAATCATTCAGTCAGTCGGATTTGTTTGTTTGTTTGTTTGTTTTTAATACTTGCATTTAAATTTATCCCAGTTTTACCTTCTGTTTTATTATCTATTTGTGTCGTTTTATTTTGAAAAGCGCCTCCCTCACAGAGGATCCGGTGAAGTCGCGGAGACGAACCCTGAGAGCTCACAGAGTTTGACTCGTTCAGTCCTCCGCTCATCACAACTCGTTCATCTGCTCGTAGACTCTCAACCAGCGGCTGCATTTCTGTGGTTTAAAGACACTTTAACAGCTCAACCGGAAACAAAGAAGTCCGGACGGTGGAGCTGCTCTGAGGCGACCCGTAACTTCGGTGAGTTTCAGTAGTTTTTCTTCCTGCTTGTCACCAACATTCAAGTGTGTTCCTCACATGATAGCAAAGCGGCTGATAAGCTCACAAATGCTTTTGTAGTTCTGTTAACTAAATAGTCAGCATTTACCGTAATAACGTTATACTGTCAGCGTTAGCCGAGCTAGCGCGTGTTCAAGCTAAACATTAACTGGAAGTTGTAAACAGCGAAACATGTTTTTCCTCTTCAAAAATGCCACAAATGTCTTAATTAATGTTAATGTTATGAGTTTATAGTGGACATTTCTTGATGGTGAGTGTAAACCAGGTTTTTGAGTTTGATCATACATTACGGTAATTCCCATTAGTTGCCCTTTGTGTTATTACAGTAGCTCATAAACGTTTTTAAGTTCAATATTTGTCTCGGGTTCCACTATAATAACTCTAAATGTGTGCCACACTGAAGTATTTTAGAGGATAAATAAAAATAGTGCTCCAGACCCTTAGATTGTGATGTTTTTATGTACTATGTGTAGTACAGTCATCCTCAGATGTCTTCATCTCCTTCCATTAAAGAAAAAACAAAAACCAAAAAAAGCAACCAAAAAAACAAAAAACGAAAAAAGTAACAATAAATAAAAAATTGCTAAATTATAATTTAGTGAAATAAGACGTTGCTTTTAAATTGTGCTTAAAAGAATAATTTAAAAAAACAAAAGAAACACTGCAAATGAGAGCCCTTTGCTGATGAGCCAGAATACCTGTCAACAGGTGAAGAATATTTAATATATGGTATTTAGAATTTTATTTTGTTGGCTACCCAGCATAGTTCTATATTTTACTTCCTGTACTCAAAGAGTTGAGTTTAGTCTGTTGTCCAGAGCAGATCTCTCTCTCAGCGGTTGACGTGCTGGTCTGTCCGGTCCATGTAGCCCAGCTGGCCCTCCTTTGTTCCGGCCACGCAAACTGATTAGCATGCACCATCCTACCAGAGCATCTGTCCCCGCAGACGCTGCTTTTGTTCCTCGTTTAATATGTGAAACTTTTGTCCGACTGTCCTCTCGTATTAAAAGCCTGTAGACACGTCAGCCCCAAATGTTAAAACCTCAAACTGGGGGTGGACAAAATCTGAGCTGCAGGAGTGATGGTCACAGTTTAAGCTGTCAGATGTCTGAAGATCGCAGTGATGTGGGTGGAATCAGTGCAACAATATAAAGGCATGGTTTTCTGCCCCTTATTCATGAAATCTAACCCTCTAGCTGGTGGGGAAAGGAGCAGATTTTTTATAGAACTACACTCGTTAATTATCTTGTGTTTATTGTCTCGGCCTTCGTTTACCAAGAAGATAAACCACAAGATAAGATGCAGCTGAACTTGAGCAATTTCACACGAAACAAGCCAAATTTCTCAACAAATGTACAAAAAAAAAAAACATACAAGAATCAAACTGAACTTAAAAGCAGTGACCTGTTGGCTTCAGAGTGAAACCAAAAGGATCATCATCAGCAACCAACTCTGATTGTCTTTAAAATCATCTGGGTAGCATTTGTTAAACATTAACTTGGGAAATTCCCCCGGTAGTTGCAGTGTTGATCTAACAAAGTAGGACCCATTAAGAGCTTCACTGACGAAACATAACTTCATTAGTTGTGACCATTTTTATTGGCTCTTGCACAAATTACTATGTGCCAACAAAAGGGCAAACATCTGACATTTCAGATCAACCTAATTGTCTTATTATGATGTTAATCTTTGGTCAAGTCTTCCAGCTTTGCTCTAATCCATCTTTTTTAATCAGGCTGTGTCCTAGTTTTAATGTTGACGCACGTGAATAATCTGGTTATGTTGTTTAAAGGGTGCCTTAATAGCTTAATGTGCTCCGAACTGAGTGCTGAGTGTAAACCAGTGTTAGTTTTGGCACCACAGTGTCAACTTTAAGTTAAAGTCAACTAAAACGGCACACATTTACTTTACGTCAGTGATGTTTTAGTCTTATTTTTACATTCATTTTTATCACCTTCAAAGCATTTTGAGGGAACCACTTCCTGTGTTTTTATCCTGTCACTGTGGTTACAGATGTTATTTTCGTCTTTTGCGAGGTTAGAGGAAAAAAACCAAACAAGACACAGGTACCGCAGGCCACTGAATAAGACTTCGCCTTAATGCAGTCGTGACTCGTTAATCCGACCCTTAACAATCCTAAACCTGCTATCCGACAGGTTTGTAGGAAAAACCAACAGAACCCATAAAAACAGCCTTAACA